GGGAACAAATGCACAAAGGCTGAATCCGTGAAACATGCCAACATCACCTCCTTCAAGCCTTAACTAATGCTGAAGTGCTGAAGACATTCCAAGACTGGGAGGCCCAGAGATCCAAGAATGCCATGTTCAAATCAATGATGAACTACCTACACCGAGTGGAGACAATCCTGTTCTTCGTGGCGGCATCCCGAAACGCTGACCTGGTGCTTCATCTTGAAGCTGGAGAAGCACTGAGCAAGATGTTCTTTATTATGGACCGGATAAAGTACAAGCGACTCTGGCCTTGGTACATCGCAGACATGTATGACCTGAGAACAGACCACCCCAATACCTGGAGGGAACTGGAAGCTGGAAACATATCCGTCACGAAGAACGAGATCCCATTTGTATCCATTGGTGCAGACCACGCATGCGAACATCTGAACAAGCTGATGAAGGTTTACTCTGGACTGATCGCCATCTCCAACAACGCCAACGCTAGACAGAGGTTCTTCATGGCTGCACCAGAACTGTCATGCCTGTCGAGCGAGTTCAAGAGTCAGTGATGTGGAAGCTGGCAAGGTCACAGAGCACTATGACCTTAGACCAAGTGCAGTCAAGAGGGAGCACGACGCGATCAACAAGATTAAGGCTGCGATCTTGAGTCATGGCAATCCATTTGCCACTGAAGGTGACCAGCTGCACAATCTGATCACCCATGCCTACATCCCAGACAAGTATGTGCAACAGATCCTGAACATTGATGTCACTGGGCAGAAGTTGTATGAAGAGTACGTGTCTGGCAACAACGTGTATGAGATGTTCATGTCTGGCAACAAGAAAACCAGTGTGAAACTCAGAGATAAGACTGTAGATCTGAAGGAGACCAAGGATCTGTACGGAAGGCTGATGGTCCTTGCCAGGTCAAGCCGAGACATCGACCAGAAACAAGCCATCGGCAACTATGAATTCACGTTGACACCGAGGGCACTGTTTGCGGCAAGCGGAGCAATGCTGCCATGTATTGACAAGGCAAAGTTGATCCACCTCCTTAAGAAGCTGGGAACAGCAGAACCACCCAATAAAGATTAGCAGCAGCAGCTGCATGATGCAAGTGTTCTGCAGCGCAATGCAGTGGATCCAGAAACCATGGACTGCACACCCACTGAAGATCCTTATCGAAGTCAAAAAATTGCACTGGTGGACGGTATGGTGGTCGTGCAGAAGCTAACAAAGAAACCAGCTACGGTAGTGACAGTCAAAGACTTCAGTGAATGCTTCAATACCAGACTGATGTCTCTCACAAGAGACTGTGATGCGATCATTCTGATGTTTGACACATACAAGGCTGATTCCCTGAAGAGTACCACAAGGGAGAAACAGAGACAAGAAAAGGATCCGATCCAATATCAGATCAGAGATGACACCAGCATCAAGCACATCCCAATGAGCCGGTTCCTTTCCCATGACAAAACGAAGGCTGATCTGACTGAGTATTTGGCAGCAAAAACCCTGGAGTACAACTGTTCTGCCTCATCGAGAGAGGGCGCGGGTATCGTTTAAAAATGGCGGGGCTGCAAACGCCTCCTCGAATCTTCAAATCTCACAATTGCCAGGCAATTGTGGCTTTTGGTGCAGTTCGTGGGCATGACACGGCCCCCATCGGAGTAAGTAGGATGTTTTAAATATTGTAGATTTCTGATATCGCATTTTTGTTCACATATTTCAAGCCTTTGATTACTTATTTAGAATTTTGATAAGGGCATTTATCGGCGGGAAAATTATTGTTCGCCGAACGCGGTGTCGTACGCGTAACAGTCAACATTGCTAATCATGTCGTTAAACTGGTTGCAGTCATATTGTCTGGCTCAGGTTATAGTAACTGAATGTCAGTGTGAAACTGTATTTTTAATTGTTAAGCATTATAATTCTTCTCTGTATAAGTAATTTTAGTTAGTAAACGAGTAAGCATCTCAGTGATATCAGTGCCAAGCGTAAGGTAAACGTACATATATTATAACAATTTTGTTGTATGCTTTTTGCAAACACTGTGTTTGTAAGCTCAGACAGTGTTTCTCTTTTCGTGTTGCAGTCTTTTACTATCATAAATGACCGGGCAACGTTGGTTAGTTTGGAATAAAGGTGACTGACAGTTCTCAGTACTTGTTCTGACTTTATGAACCCTCAACCGGGCACAACAGTAAAAGATCCGGCAGCAAGTCGTGCAACGCCTTGATGTCCTGATGTGGTGAATCCTGCTGACTGTAGACAGTGAGAGGAAGAAGCCACATTGACAACCCTGCATCCCAGTGTGGGACCAGCGTCGCATCTCCGGTGCTAGACCAACGATCAGTGACTGATCTCGGGCTTCAGCGCCCCTTCAAAAAACATTCAGCTTGTTGTGATGGACAAAACTCTGTATATTGCAGTATATCGTCATATGTTTGCAATATTGTCAAGTCTGATGATGGATCTGATTGTATATGATTGATTGTGTTTGTTTTTTGACATGTGCATGTATAGTTTCTGAATAGTGTGTCCAAGTCTCAAATTTGAGGAACAGAGTTCAGGAAATTATGTGACTGATGTAGTAATGAGTCAGTGTAGGGGTGTGTTCCATTAGACTCATATAACATTTGTTGGTGTGCTGTCAAGTAACAAGTGGGTTGTACACATGCGTATGAAATATGTGCTGGGATTTTTACACACCTTTTGTAATGTGATATGGTGTCACAACTCTTTGTACGTGCATGTATGTATTTTTGAGTGACAATGTCAGTACACGGGGAAGCACAAGAGACCGAGTTGTTACCGCCAGGTAGGCGAGTGCGTACCCTCTCTGACAAAGGGCAGGAAATTTTTATATGCAAAGTTAAGGGTTTTCGTGAGAAAATTTGTAACATTGAAACCCTATTTGAGGCATGTTTTGCATCTATCTCTCAGTGTGAGAGTGAAGGAAGCCTGCAACACATAGCCAGGGACGTGAACAAATACTATGCAACATATAGTGATGTGTCTGAACAGTTTCCACTGCATCTAGCCTTAAGGAAACAGCTGCACATCGCGAGGAAGTGAGACAGTTTGTTACCAAGTTGGAGTCTGCTAGAGAGCAGATATCTAATAGAAGTTCTCAGTTACTGGAAGCCATGTCCCATCATTCGACAACTCCACATGCATCCACTACTTCCTCCAAAAGGTCTTCAGTATCATTTGTACTTGCCATAAAAAAGGCAGCAGTTTGTGCTGCTCGTGTGAAACTGGAGTATGCACAAAAGGAAGCGGCAATGCGTAAACAACAAATTGTTGCTGACAGAGCTGCACAACAGAGAAAGGAAGAGTCAGCGCTCGAACTATTTCTCCTTTCCCAGGAAAAGGAAGTCGCCGCAAATGAAGCGGAAGTGCAAGCCCTAGAATCGTCTGTCGAGGGTCAGTCTCGTGGTGCAAGCTCGTATTATGTCAAAACTCTATAAAAAGTTATATTTCAAACAGCAAAAGTAAAGAGAAAAGAATGAAAAAGAAAAAAACAATTCTTTATTCAGAATAAAGAAAAACTAACTCTTTATTCTTGCCGTTTGTGCACAGCGCCGGTGTGCGTACACGTACGTGTGCGTTCGTGCGTGCGTGCGTGTGTGCGTGTTTCAGAGGAGCATTTGAACAGAATTTACAGGAAATTATCGATAATAATAGGCGAAAAAGAGTAGGGAAACATTAAGACCTTGGTAGTAAATATATTTCGTATTTATTTACTATCATTTCACTATTGAAACGTTCCAAGTGCCTGTGGCATCGCCTGTAGTGCCTGTGGTCCATACCAAGGTCCATACCGCTCTTCCCGCCTGCGAAACAAGTGAGCACACTACTTGACACTTGTTTTGACATGTCAGCGCCCATCGTCAAGTTCTCATCTGTTGAGCTTTTCTGTTGTATCACTATCAGGTAATATTGACGTATGTCTACAGTCCTAGTATTAAACTATATCTGTGTCTAGAGCAGTCGTGACTGTAGACTGTTGTCTGTGAGCGTGAAATATAATAATGATCTGCAACTGAATAATGCAAATGATAAACGCTTCGGCCTTTGGCCTTTGCTTTTGCGAGTCGTTGCCTTTGGCTTTGGCTTTGGTGACCTTTGCCTTTGGCTTGTAGTTGTATGTAACTGTATAATACAAGTTACAACTGTAACTTGGTATAATACTTAATAGTTAATATTCATAGAAATTTATTAGTTGTCATAATGTGAAAATGCTCATGCAACTGGTGCTGTTTTGCTCAAATTCGCCCCTATGACGTCATCAGACTGTTGTTATCGCTATTGTATAGACTCTTGTATTGTTCTGTTCTGACATTTTTTGATTCAACAATGTTTTTTATTACAGAACTCATCCTGAAGCGAACTGATTTTCTGTTTTTCTGCACGGTCGACAGACATCCATCGTCCACGCCTCACATCTATATTTCATAACACACTTGCATTCGAAGAAATCTCCAGGAGAATTCTAGAGAAAGATCTATAGGCAAAAGAAAAGATCTCCAGGAGATCTCCAGGCAAAAGAAAAAATCTCCACAAGAATCCTAGAAAGATTTCTAAGCGAAAGTAGAAATTTCCAACAAGAATTCTACTCTAGGCAAAAGTAGAAATCACCACGAGAATTCTAGAGAAAGATCTCTAGCCAATAAGAAGAGAAATCTCAACGAGAATTCTAGAGAAAGATCTCTAGCCAATAAGAAGAGAAATCTCAACGAGAATTCTAGAGAAAGATCTCTAGCCAATAAGAAGAGAAATCTCAACGAGAATTCTAGAGAAAAATCTCTTAAGCAAAAAATCTCCGCTACAATGCAGGCTTTCGTCGACAAGACGAGACGGCTTCTCGCCATGGAGCGAGACGCCGAGACGGATGAGATGCAGCGTCTGCTGGAGCGATGCT